TTTGTCTGTTAGGTGCTGAGCCGATGGTGCTATCCACGTGCACAGTGGTAACACGGGGATCTCCAGCAAATGGCTCCGATTTCCCTCTCTGCCCCTATAAATGTGTAAATGCAACCCCACTCCCAGGGCTCTCCCCGCTGCCCGCTGGAACGGGGCTGCCGGATGTCTAGGGAGAGGCAGCTGTGGGGATGTCTCCTTTCCCCAGCTCAGCATGCTGAAAGCTAGGTCATTATCTCCCCGGCTGTAATGGGAGCTGCTGACACGTGGCTACAAGCTCTCCAACGCCTGTATCTCCCTGCGCCGGGAGACTCTGCACCCTGCAGCCTGGGTATGAATTAAACAGGTTTGCATCAGCTGGAGCAGCCCTGTCCCAGTGTCTGTATTAACGACACTCCTGAGTCAATTGCAGTCGCTCTCCCTCCACACTGAGAAAACACAGAGGTGGAGGGGCTATTTCTCTCCTCTGCGGAAGCACGCAGCTGTCCCATGAGGCTCTGCAGCATTAGATTCCCCCTTGCACACTGACAGATATTGATATGGAGAAGATCCTACAATCGGAGCTAAATGGAAGGAGCAATTAAGCCCCTTCATGGAGTGAGATGGCCGGAAATTACAGAAGCCACTGTCCAAGGCACTGGGCCACAGGCTGAGGCTAGAGCAAAAATTAAAGGCAGGTAGTTTCCCTGGTTGCAAAGGCAGGGGCTGAGGTTTCGGGCTGATGTGTCTGTGGGTTTTTAGAGCAGAAAATCCAGGAGAAAGGGAGAGAAGCAATGGCGAGCGAGTGTGAGCCCGAGCAGGAAGCAAAGGGACAGCTTCTTAGGCACAGATCCGGCTGGAGAGGCACACTGGGGATGTCTGAGCAAGGAAACTTCCCACTATTGTATGTCTCCACTGCAGTCCAGGAGGCAGGCGTGGGTGGGCATTTGTTGTAAAGACACAGGATCGCACCCAAGAACAGACCTGACTCGTAGCTTCGATTTCTCCTCTTAATAGAAACAACCCTGCGATGCCCCAGTAATCAGCCAACCCCACGGGCCAGAAGGGCAGCAGCAGGTTTCTGAATGGCAGCCGGTCTGGCTCTGGGGCCCTGCAAAGATCCAGCGCTTCCCCTGGGAGCGTGTTCCCGTGGCTAATCACCCGCCTGGTTAAATTGTCTTATTTCCAGCTGCATCGTGTCTGGCTTTAGCTCCCAGCCGGCAGTTCTTGTTCTGCCTTTCTCCACCGGCTCACAGGCAGGGACTCCGCGGGGGCGTCAGACGGCAGGACCCCCACTCCTGAGCGGGGGCGGGGCATAGTCTGGGCATTTAACTCGAACTGCTTCGACCAGAACACCCCGAATGTTCACCAGGGACTCTGTGCTGCAGAGCCGGGCGCGAGGCAACCTGCCGGGGCGCGAGAACTGCCGAGCGTGCCGAACAATCGGCTTTTAACTGAAAGCTCTGCACGGTTCATACTCTGGGCATTGCTACTGTGTCTCCAGTGTGTGTGTGTGTGTGTGTCCCTGCCGCCCCCTGCTGGAGGGGACGAGCCCTGCGGGGTGTGTGTGGGTGTGTGTGTGTGTGTCCCTGCCGCCCCCTGCTGGAGGGGACGAGCCCTGCGGGGTGTGTGTGGGTGTGTGTGTGTGTGTCCCTGCCGCCCTCTGCTGGAGGGGACGAGCCCTGCGGGGTGTGTGTGGGTGTGTGTCCCTGCCGCCCCCTGCTGGAGGGGACGAGACCTGCGGTGTGTGTGTGTGTGTGTGTGGACACTTGTGCAAGACTGCTATCTACCTGCACATTGAAATAACAGCATCTGTTGTGGTTGCAAGTTGTAGGTTCACTCTAGCTGCTGGCTTGTGGGCTGGCCGGGGTCTTCTCTGACCCCTCTCCCCTTGAGACACTTTGGGGCTGATTTTCAGACTTGTCAGGCGCTGTGGGGGCTCGTCCCCCCCCGAAACCAGGCTGAGGGGGCAGATTGCCGAAGGGCTTTAGGCACTTAGTGGGATGCTCAGCCCTGCCTGAGCCCGTTGGGGCCAAACGCCCATTGATTTTGCTGGCCGTGCTGGGGAAGACCCAGCCCAGATAGTTCGTAGTGCTCTGCGTTAGCTCCCTGGACAGCATTTGCCATTCGCACTCACGGTACGTCTACACTGGGCTGGCAGCTCGGGGGGCAGACCCACCCCGGCTCTGCGCTAGCTGCACCAGCCTGGAGACGTACAGCGGGAAGAACACAGAGGCGAGGGCTCTGCCCTGAACGGCTAGACTGGTATCGCAGGCTGTGTGAAAATGCCACCCTGTTGCTTTAAATCTTTGGGGGGTTTCCTGGGCCTGCTGGCAGGTCGGGGGCTCTGTAAGGAAGCGTGCAACCTGAGCCAGTCTGCGGAGAGCGAGCCCGGAGCAAGGTGCGGGGGAGCTGGGCTTCTCAGCCTTTGGGAGCAGCCTGCTTTGTCTCTCTCCGGTTTTGGTTCTTGTGTGTGATCGTCCTGGATTCTGCGCAGTGAAGTCATGTTACTCTGCAGCCTTCCTGCAAGAGGACGTGATGGTTTTATCTCCCATCTCTGCCTGCGTGGCATGAAGCATAACCGTGACAGAGTTAATTTCTGATGGACTGGCCCGTCCTATTGATAGACAATTATTACAATTCCCAGAGAAGTGGGCATGGGAGGCTTGGAATTTGCTCTGTGTGTTGTTCCCAGGCCCCAGTAAAATTCAATCTTTTTCATATCCTGCTTTCACTTTCCATAAGAAAACTCTGCAGTGCAGCAGTAGCCGTGTCAGTCCCAGGACGCTAGAGAGACAAGGTGGGGGGCGGGGGGGAATCGCTTTTATTGGCCCAGCTTCCGTTGGGGCGAGAGACGAGCTTTCGAGCCACACCGAGCTCCTCTGGAGGTCTGGGAAATGTACGAAGGGATTCTCTGACCTACAAACTAAAAGGAACAGGAGGACTTGTGGCACCTTAGAGACTAACCAATTCATTTGAGCATGAGCTTTCGTGAGCTACAGCTCACTTCATCGGATGCTGTAGCTCACAAAAGCTCATGCTCAAATAAATTGGTTAGTCTCTAAGGTGCCACAAGTCCTCCTGTTCTTTTTGTGAATACAGACTAACACAGCTGCTCCTCTGAAACCTACAAACTAAGTTGATCTATGTTAGGTCGACTTACAGCAACTGCCGGATTTATGGTTGTGACGAAGTGGGACTGTTCTTAATGGTTCCTCTGAATAGTGTGGGGGTGCCTCAGTTTCCCCGAGGCAGTTCTTAAGTATCTAGGGGGTGGGGTAAGGGTGTATGATCGTTGCAGAGCCCTAGAGGGCAGGTGTGTGCAGGGGTCTGGACACAGAGAATGGCCGACACCCTGTTTCCTGGCAACTGATGGCCTGGGCCCTTCCCCCCTGCAAGGTGAGAGCTAAAGGGCTGGAGAACAAAGGAATCAGGTGCCCTCCTGGCCTGGGAAAGGGACAAAGCCCAGGGGAGGAGGGGCTGGGGGGAGTTTCAGTTTGAGGCTGGCTGGAGACATGGAGTGAAGTGCAGACGTGGTTGCCTGGTTCACTGCCCCCCAAAATGGACCCAGCTGAGGGGTCCTGTTCTCTGCACCTACAAGCTCTGTGTTAGACCATGTTCCTGTCGTCTAATAAACCTCTGTTTTACTGGCTGGTGGAGAGTCCCGTCTGACTGCGGAGTTGGGGTGCAGGACCCTCTGGCTTCCCCAGGACCCCGCCTGAGCGGGCTCACTGTGGGAAGCGCACGGAGGGGCAGAGGAGGCTGAATGCTCCGAGGTCAGACCCAGGAAGGTGGGAGCCGGGTGAGCTGTGTGTCCTGCAGACAGGCTGCTCCCAGAGAGGAGACTCCCCCAGAGTCCTGCCTGGCTTCGTGGGTCCAGGTCCAGAGCATCGCCCGGGGACTCCGTGACAACGGCGGTGGTTCATGTCCACACCAGGAGCATTTCCACCACCCTACAGGGGCAGCGTGGGGGGCTGAGAGCCTGGGCTGCCCCCCCGGGCTCTCAGCTCCCCACTCCCCACTGGGGAACAGAGATCCCAAAGCGCAGGTGGCTCCCAGGTTCTCTGTGGGGAGTGGGGAGCCCAGGCATCAGCCTAGCGGGAAGCCAGGACCCTGGGGAGGGGGCAGCCAGGCTTTAGCTGCAGCCCCCCACTCGCTCTGGGGCGACAGCCTGAGCTGTGAGTGGTTTCTGTCCATGTCACGGCTCCGAGCAGGGAAGCAGGGAGCCATGAAACGGGCAGGTGTGAGCAGGGGACAGCCCAGGTGAGTAACCCGCCGTGTCCACACCGGGTTCACCCCACCGACGTAAGCCCTGCGCTGCTGGCGGAGGCGGTGTTATTCGTTGGGGGGAGCAGGGCGCGTACGTCGGCGGGCGCAAGGCGGGCGTGTGGACACAGACCCACCTGGGCTGACTAAGCTGCCTGACCCCGAACTCTCGGCCAGCCCAGGCCTCAGGTTCCCGCCCGGAAGAGGAGCGCTGGGTGAGCGCGAAAGCGTCCCTCCCCCACAGAAGTGGGTCCCCCACAAGCTATGCCCCCCCGTCTCGCTCAGAAGCCACCCTCCGAGGCGCGAGAGGGGAGGGCGGCAGAGACCAAGCCAGGGGCTGGGACGTTCCCTCCACGAGCGGGTGAATTGCGGCTCTTCGGGCGAGCCGGGCAGCGACTCTCTTGGTCTGTGGCCGGTCCGGTCGCCCTCCAGGTCTGACCAGCCTGAAGGCCGAAGGTTGGTCTGGCCGAGCTGCGGGATCCCAGCCGGGCCGGTCGGTAGCTCACGGAGCTGGTGGGGTGGAAAGGGAAGGAAGCGGGAAGTGCAGAGAAGTGTCTGGAATAAAGATCTCGGGGGGGGTCGGATGGAATAAAAAACAAGGGGGAGGGAAAGTTTTATCTCTTGCCACCTACGTTTCCTAAGGTAGGATGTGGTTAAAGCAGAAGTGTGGACGCCAGGAGTCCTGGGTTCTTCTCTCCCCTGCTCCGGGAGGGGCGTGGGGTCTACTGGTGGGGGGGGGGGAGGGGCTGGGAGCCAGGACTCCTGGGTTCTCTCCCTGCTGTGCCACTGACTTCATACGCAACCTTGAGCGAGTCGCGTTTCCTCGCAGGGCCTCGGCAGGGCCATCCTTAGGCATATGTAGGCACCCAAAAATTTGGGGCCCCACCCTGATTCCCTGGCTGCGGCACGGACTCCTCTCCGTTTGCTCTCCCTGCCCCTTGGCGGTGCCGGCAGGAGGGGATGGACCTGGAGCGGGAAGTGCCGGGGAGGGAGCGAGCTCCTCGCTGGGGCGGGAGATGGGCTCGCACCGGACACGGCTGGAGCAGCTGGAAACTCCATTTCGGGGAGAGGGAGGTGAGTTTTCCCCGGGACTCCCGGGCTGTCTCCGGCTGGCCACATTTTGAAGGCGAGAGAGTCCAACCGGAGCGGGGCTTGAACGCGGCACCTTCCTGCTCCCCCGCGGGAGAGACCTTTCAGACCGGCCGGAAATAACCCCGAACAATCCCGTGTGCTCCTGCGAAGGGGCTGGTTACGGCTCCAGCCCCCTGTTCAAACTGGCTGCAGCGTTATCCCCAGGACAACCCCAGCGAGCGCGTGTGGCAGCCAGGGGTGCAAACCGGGCCGGAAAGGAGCCTGGCTCCAGTTCCTGCAGGTCCCGGCTCCTGGTCACTCGCGGGAGGGGAGGGAAATGGTCTAAGGCCATGGGGAGCTGATGGCCCAGAGCACGGGCAGGCGGGGGCCTGGATGGGGGCTGGACTCAGCCACCGGCATCAGCTCTTTCCTTTTTGTCTTTCAGCGGCTTTGGGGTCCTGGCCGACATCCCCGTGGCCGCTTGACATGCACACCGAGGTGCCCCCAGCCTGGGGGCAGAGGAGGGGAGGGCTGCAGGGTGGCCGGGCGGGAGCCGCCACCGTTATTTATTGACAACGTTGGCAGAATTGTAAAATATGGTGCACAGCATTTAATTGTTTGGTGCTGAATTCCCTCCGGAATACGGGGCGCTGGGCGGGGGGGGCTGTGAGAGGGGCACCGGGCAGTGGGGAGTGTCTGTGGCTGGGAGATTGCTGGGCATAGGGGTCTGCGGTGAGGGGCCACTGGGCATGGGGGTTGCTGGGCATAAGGGGGCGGGGGGGTGTGGCGGGGCACGTTGGGTTTGGGGGTGCAGGTGGGAGGGAAGTGCAGAGGTTCGAGGTGAAGCTGGTTTTAATACCGTGCCCGGGGCAGGTTTTCCAATACTGCCCGCTTGTGTTTGTGTTGCTAAGAGCAAGTCGGGCCTAGGGGCTCCCGTTTAATGACCCTGCGGCGGGCCCCAGAAAGCCTAAAGCCGGCCCCGGGCCTGGGTTCCCCGGGGGGGGGGGGGAGGGCTCCGCCGGCGTGCGGTCGCGTGTCTGACGACGGTTCTCCCGCTGGGGGCTGCGGCCCCCACGCAGCGGCCTGAGACCGGGGGTCTGGGCCGGAGGGAAGTGCCGGAGCCGCCTTCCCCCACTCTCCCCCCCGGCTCCAGCTCTGCGCCTGCCGTTCCGCAGGTGAGCGATGGAGCAGCCCGTGTGCCTCATCGCCACCCGGCCGATGGGGGGCTGGAGGCCCTGGGCGGAGGGCCCAGCCCAGCGGGCTGTTTCGCACCGGCAAGCCCTACCTCCTGAACCAGCTGGCCGGCAGGAGAACAGGTGAGAGACCTTCTGCTTCCTGACCCCGTCCGGGATCCTTCACCTCCCCCTCTGGGCCAGCCGTGAACCCCCCCAGCCCGCTTGCAGCGGGGCACGTGAGTCTGTTATTGAGCCTCTGGAATGTGGGGCTGGAAGGGACCTCGTGGGGTTGTCACGTGCAGCCCCCGGCGCGGAGGCAGGGCCAGGAACCGAGAGCGGCCGGGACGGGGGTTTGTCCAACCTGTGACCAACGTGTGCTGGCTAGTGGGTGACCATCAACGCGGTGACCGCCATGGGCACCATCGAGAACGAGGCGGCCGTCAGGGAGGCGCTGGCTCACTACGTGGCCGGGATGCGGGGGCTGCGGCTGCCGGCGGAACTGGGTGAGCTCTTGGCGGTGCACGGGACGTGCGAGGAGGATGCCCTGCGGCTCTTCGTGCAGCGCTCCTTCAAGGACGAGGGTTACACGTACCAGAAGCGGCTGATGGTATGTGAATGCCAGGGGCCCTGCCTTCCTCCCCGTGCCGTCTGAACGCTTTGCTGCCAGGCCGTTCGCACAGCGCGGCCAACCTGCGACAAACGCCCCTGAGATTCTGAGGGCGAATCCCCATGTCCTAAGGCCTGGCCCAGACTTAAACCTCTTCTGTCAGTGTAGACGTAGAGAATGTGGTGACCTCATTTATCTAGGCTTCCAAAAGGCTTCTGAGGTTAAAGGCGAAGTTGTCCTGGGGGGAGTGGCAAAGGATGGTCATAGATCGAAACCAGGCCACGGCACTAGATGGACTTTGGCTCTGATCTGGGGTGGGAATTCCTATGAAAACAGGACCCAAGGGTAACTAACGCTAAGCTAGGTGTCTGAGCCCGCAGAAAGAGCTCCGGGAGGTGGGACTTCATCCCGGCACGGTGTCAACGCGAATGTCAGAGGTGATACTTTACCTGGCAAACTTGGTGATGATTTCACTGAGCAGAGCAGGTGAGAAAGGGGAGGGCGAGCCAGTGATAATGACCTGGACCATGTCAGACAGGAAACCTCTTATCTGAAGTCAAAAATTGTCACGGCTCCTTTAGAGGTACCAGGAAAGTGAGAGTAAACCAATGTCTGGACACCAGGAGGGCTGAGCCGATCCAATCTGTTCCTGCCTGTTTCGAGAGCAGGACAGAGGAGAGTTGATCTTGCAGGGGAGCAAGATTTTCTTGACTTTGGTTTGTAAAATCCTTTCCAGCAGCTCATGGTTCCACGGCCAAGCGGGTGAGAAACACCGTGTGACTGTCACTGCCTCTCTCCCTTCCCAGCCATCGCCCAGTTTGTTCTCCGAGCCGGTGGGCTGGCTGGTGGCGGATGCTATTTTCCTTCCCGGGCGAGACGTAGCCAAACCCAGCAAGAGCAGCCGGGCACGCGAGCCCCACGGAGCTGGGGAGAGTGGTGTTTCCAGTCCTGGGAGCTAAGCCCAGTAGAGCTCGGTGAGCATGCGCCGTCGTATGGTGAGTGTCTGCCCGCGGACTGAGGGCAGTGCTGCCTTTTGGCTCGTTCTCTTTTGTTGATTAGGAGGCAATCAAGGAAAGTTACCGGCGGTCGCTGGGCCAGAACGAAGCTGCGTCCAAGGACTCCTGCCGCGCCCTGCTGGAGACGCTCTCAGCCGCCATGCAGAGGAGTCAAGGTGAGTCTCCGGAGCCAGCCCAGGCAGCGTGGAGTTTCCGAAGCCTCAGTGTTGCCACTGGCCGTGATCTCCCGAGGGAAAGGGTCGGTATCGGACGCCTGAGCGCTCGCAGACAATTCCGAGCTGCGTGCTATGCGATCTCTTCTTCCCCGGCTGAGGAGGGACTGGAACAATTCCTGGCCAGCAAGAGGATCGAAGCAGAAACAGTCCTCAACGTCGACAAAAATTTGACTGAAGCAGAAAAGGACCTGGCCAGTAAGTCATAAAATCAAATGTGGTGTTTTATAATATTGTACAAGAAATATTAATGCAAGAAAACATTCTTTTCCCTCTGTCCTCCCCCATGAGCTGTGGAGCTCACAACGCACATGCAGAGAAGTGAAATACAAACCATCCGTCCTCTTGCTGGAAGGCTGCACTGTAGCATGACTTTATTTCTGAGGATTCAGAGCACACAAGGACCCCAAACCAGAGAGAGACAAACCAGGCTGCTCCCTAAGGCAGTGAGGCACCATTCACCCGCCTTGATTTAAGCTGTCTGCTCCATGCTTTGCTACAGCCTTCTAGCAGGAGCAGAGACCCCCCTGCTCTGACGGTGAGAGCTTGCAATTCCAACACAGTCCTCAAGACCCCACCCAACCCTTTCCTGCCTCACTTTCCCTCTTTCAGGCCTTGACACCCTAGCGTTTTTGGGGTTGGCTGCACACACGCCCGGCGTGAAACGTCCGAAAACCTCCCAAATGGGAATGCTCAGATTCCCATCTCAGGTACACCGATGTAAATCCAGAGTGACTCCCTCTGAAGGCCATAGAGTCATTCTCGTCTACACCAGGATAACTGAGACCAGAATCTTGCCCATTGGTGCAAAGGGGAAGAAAAACCATCCATTAGGGCCAGCGGAGGATTCACCCTGGGGGGAAGAAGCCCTGCCTGGCGTAAGCCAGCCTAGCCCTTAGGCCCTGTTGGACGTGTTGCCCCAGGACTTTGGAAACTAGGATAGTGGCAGATCCCTGTGGCCCTGGCCAGTCGCCCATTTGTGGCTCTAGCCAGCTGGCACAGAGCCAGCCCCAGGGCCAGGGAGCTGCAAAGAACTGGTTAGTGCTCCCTGTGACGAAGCAGGACTATCCTTAATGTTTCCTCTGAATAGTATGGGGGTGCCTCAGTTTCCTCTGTGCAGTTCTTAAGTCTCTAGGTGGTGGGGTAAGGGTGTATGATCATTGCAGAGCCCTAGAGGACAGGTGTGTGCAGGAGTCTGGACACAGAGAATGGCCGACACCCTGTTTCCTGGCAACTGATGGCCTGGGCCTTTCCCCCCTGCAAGGTGAGAGCTAAAGGGCTGGAGAACAAAGGAATCAGGTGACCTCCTGTCCCCGGAAAGGAACAAAGCCCAGAGGAGGAGGGGCTGGAGGGGGTTTTCAGTTTGGGGCTGGCTGGGACATGGAGTGAAGGGCAGACGGGGTTGTCTGGCTCACTGCTCCCCAAAATGGACCTGGCTGAGGGGTCCTGTTCTCTGCACCTACAAGCTCTGTGTTAGACCATGTTCCTGTCGTCTAATAAACCTTCTGTGTTACTGGCTGGCTGAGAGTCACGTCTGACTGCGGAGTTAGGGGGCAGGACCCTCTGTCTTCCCCAGGACCCCTCCTGAGCGGACTCACTGGGGGAAGCGCACGGAGGGGCAGAGGAGGCTGAATGCTCCGAGGACAGACCCAGGAAGGTGGGAGCCGGGTGAGCTGTGTGTCCTGCAGACAGGCTGCTCCCCGAGAGGAGACTCCCCCAGAGTCCTGCCTGGCTTCGTGGGGAGCAGTTCCAGAGCATCGCCCAGGGACTCCGTGACACTCCCTGCCCCTGCCGATCACCCAGCTTCCAAAGCCCCAGGGAGACCTTTTCAGCAGTGCCCCTGGGGCCAGATTTTTAGAGGGGTTTAAGCCCCTACAGGTGCAGGTGGGCGCCAGAGGGATCTTCGAAAGCAGGCCCTTTGGGAGAACGGATTCAGGCTTTTTCAGGGGCCGGGGGGCCGTGCAAGTGTCCCTGGGCCTCCATTTTCCTTCCCCACATTAACGGCACACGGGCTTCCCCAAATCGAGCCACCCCTTGGCGGGGTTTGTTGATTAGAAACATCCCCCAGCGCCTTCGATCTGGCCCGGCCCGGCAGGCCAGCGCCACACCAGACGCAGTGCCCGCGGGGTTACGACCCCCCCAAGTCTGGCCTGCAGGGCCCCTTGGCTGGGGGCGTCCCCCCGCACAGGGCCCACTGCCCAGGGTCCCCCCTCGCTCTTCCCATCTGCTCCCTGCACCCGGCTCCAGACGGCTCCAGCCCCAGCCTGACCCTGCCTCAGCTCCCTGGCCCGGCTCCACTCCCAGCCCAGCTCGGGCCCCTGCTATCCCCTTAGCTCGGCCCCACTCTGACTGACCCAGGCAATTACAGCCCACACGGAAGACGGGCCCTCCCCGGCCTCCTGACTCCCTCATTATCCCCCCCGCCCCCCAGTCAATCCGGCTGACCGGGAGCATTGGCCTCTCTCCTTTGCCCCTGGGGACTGTCAGTCTCACGATCCTCATTTCCCATGGACCCTTTCCCTTTCGTTTGGTCCTGGGAGCCAGCAACCAACCCCACCCCCCCGAGTGTTAGTGAGGGGCCAACAGTCCCCTTATATGCCACTTCTCTGCCCTGCATCAGTCTCGGGTCTGGCGCTTGCTTTGGCCCAGAGGCGGCAGCCAGCCGGACCCTTGATCCTTCCCCAGCGTGTGACGCTTTCCAGGACAGACCTGCTGGAGTCCAGCGACACCCCCCTGAATTGCATGCGGTGCCTTTGGGGTGCACTGCACTGAAGTGCAATTGTTTGGGTGTTATTGTGGGGCCGTCTGTCACGGGGGCTTATGGAATTCCTCCTCTCCAGCTAGCCCGGGAGGAATTGACAGGGAACCAATTGACGGAGAGGCAGAGGATGCTGAATGCTCTGAGGTCAGACCCAGGAAGGTGGAAGCTGTGTGAGCTGTGTGTCCTGAAGACAGGCTGCTCACAGAAAGGCGACTACCCCAGAGTCCTGACTGACTTCATGGGGAGCAGTTCCAGAGCATCGCCCAGGGACTCCGTGACAACTGGTGGCAGCGGTGGGATGTACTGCACCCCGTGGATGGTGCTTCCTGCAGTAAGTGACTGGGGAGCAGTAACACGAAGGGGGATTGCCGAGGACCAGGCCTGCTGAAGGCTCAGAGAGGAGCGGTTTCGGGGGGCGGTTAACCCCTGGGAGTGTGTGACCAGCGAGAAGGATTGTGCAGTAACAGGGTTCCCCTGGGGATTGCAGCGAGCAGTCCAAGGGGCGGAGGAGTCTGCAGCTCGACCCTGGCAAAGAGGTGGTGACCTCGAGAAGGGCTGGCACACTAGGGGTTCTCCCTGGAAACCGTGGGGAGCTGAGAGCACACGGGCCTGTGAGTCCACAACAACTTGGGAGGAGCGGAGTGATGGCCTGTCACCGTCTCCTTAAGAAGGACATTGTAACCCTGTGCAGAAAGAGAGGGTTGAGCGTTGGAAAGTTCACCAAAGCAGAGTTAATCGTGCAGCTGGAGGAGGATGACCGCTCTAAGGAACAGATTCCTGACCCCAACTGGGGCTATAGCAGGATCTGGGAGCAGCTGGAGCGGGAGCCAGGCATCGCCAAGACTCCTGTCCCCGACCAGACGGGGGTCTTCACGATCGGGTTCCCCATCGGGGGATCGGAGATGGATGGGATTGGAGCGGAGTCTGAGAGAGCAAGAGGACCGTGGGAGACAGCGAGAGCCCGAGAAAGAGCTGCAGAAGCAGCAGCAGGATGAACTGGCGGTGGTGGGGCGGAGAGGCCGAGGGGACCTCCCCGGGGTGAGTGGGGATAGATCCCGGGGGGCCAGTTCCGCAGGGAACCTCGAGACTAAATTGCTGCCCCTAGTTAAGGGGGGGTGTGTGGATGCCCACCTCACTGCCTTTGAGCAGGCTGGAGATCTGAACCAGGGGGACCCTGCGGAAAACCCCGGTGTCTAGCTCCCTTGCTGGGTCCCAAGGCCACAGACTCCATCAGCCAGATGGGTGGGGAGGTGGACAGGCTCCCACTCCTGACCCCAACCTATATGTCTGTGTGGAGTTTCCTGGGGCCAGGCCCCTCGGACCTCCAGTGGAAGGAGAAGGGGATGGTCGATGGGGAGACATTCCTGGGGTGGCGAGATCCTGGGACAGAGAGAACTGGTGTCAGGCCCTGCCTGGGTGGTGCAGCCTCAGATGCTGAGGAGCTGGGTGAGCTGGGTGAGGGTCCCAGGGACGAAGCCCCTCGCCCTGCCTATGGCCCAGATCCCTGTGCAGACCCACTAGGGGTCAGGCTGGCTGGTCGTTGGGGTTCTCCAGGACACCAGCTGCGAGACCCTGTTGTGGGGTGACTGTGTCTCTTTGGGACACGATCCAGGCCCTGTTCCTGTAACTGCCAAGGGTTTGAATTTGAATCCAGGTAACCACCTGGCCCGGGAAAGGAACAAAGCCCAGAGGAGGAGGGGCTGGAGGGAGTTTTCAGTTTGGGGCTGGCTGGGACATGGAGTGAAGTGCAGACGTGGTTGTCTGGCTCACTGCCCCCCAGAATGGACCCAGCTGAGGGGTCCCGTTCTCTGCACCTGCAAGCTCTGTTTTAGACCATGTTCCTGTCGTCTAATAAACCTTCTGTTTTACTGGCTGGCTGAGAGTCACGTCTGACTGCAAAGTTGGGGTGCAGGACCCTCTGGCTTCCCCAGGAGCCCCGCCTGAGCGGACTCGCTGGGGGGAAAGCGCACGGAGAGGCAGAGGATGCTGAATGCTCTGAGGTCAGACCCAGGAAGGTGGAAGCTGTGTGAGCTGTGTGTCCTGAAGACAGGCTGCTCACAGAAAGGGCGACTACCCCAGAGTCCTGACTGACTTCATGGGGAGCAGTTCCAGAGCATCGCCCAGGGACTCCGTGACACTAGCTCACGCTGGATTCTCCAGGGATCAGCAGCCAGCGAAAGGGGTGTCACGGAGTCCCCGGGCGATGGGGACCTGCTCCCCATGAAGCCAGGCAGGACTCTGGGGAAGTCTCCTCTCAGGGAGCAGCCTGTCTGCAGGACACACAGCTAACCCAGCTTCCACCTTCCTGGGTCTGACCTCGGAGCATTCATCATCCTCTGCCCCTCCGTGCGCTTCCCACAGCGAGTCCGCTCAGGCGGGGTCCTGGGGGGGCCAGAGGGTCCTGCCCCCCAACTTCGCAGTCAGGTGTGACTCTCAGCCAGCCAGTAAAACAGAGGTTTATTAGACGACAGGAACATGGTCTAACACGGAGCTTGTAGGTGCAGAGAACAGGACCCCTCAGATGGGTCCATTTTGGGGGGCAGTGAGCCAGACAACCACGCCTGCCCTTCACTCCATCTCCCCAGCCAGCCCCAAACTGAAACTCCCTCCAGCCCCTCCTCCTCTGGGCTTTGGTCCTTTCCGGGGACAGGAGGTCACCGGATTCCTTTGTTCTCCAACCCTTCAGCTCTCACCTTGCAGGGGGGAAGGGCCCAGGCCATCAGTGGCCAGGAAACAGGGTGTCGGCCATTCTCTGTGTCCAGACCCCTGCACACACCTGCCCTCTAGGGCTCTGCAATGATCATACACCCTTATCCCACCACCTAGATACTTAAGAACTGCCTCGGGGAAACTGAGGCACCCCCACACTATTCAGAGGAAACATTAAGAACAGTCCCACTTCGTCACAAGGGGGTTGGGGCGAAATTGCCTGGATTTGAACAGGCTCGGGGCCTTTAACCAATCCCACCCCTGGGGGGCCCAATCCTTTGGGGAAGGCTGGCAGGCCCCACAGGGCTGGGAGGTGGCTCTGAACTATGGCTAGGACCTGGGCATCACAAGTGAGACACGGGGGACTTGGAAGAACTCACACTGCAGAGCCCCGGTGGCGCTGGCCGGGAACATGCTGACGAGCTCGTTAGCAGGCGGGCAGGTTCTTGGATTGTTTTTAACGTGTTTTCTCTGTAACGCTTCTTCCCTAAGAATAGTAAACCTTGCCAGGGAGCACTGGCTGCTAGCGCCCCACGCCTGGCGATGACTCGGTTATCGGTCTCCGAGGAGAAACCAAGCTGGCCCGGTTAGTCGACCTTTGCTGGGGAGTTTGCAGTGTGGCTGGGAGCTGGGCAGCTGAGAGAGACCCCAGGCCGGCTGGGCAGCCTAGATCGGGAGCCCTGCTGGGCTGTCGAGCTGCAGCTGCCCCCGGGCCGCAGGTCTCCTGCTCAGGGCCAGCAGCCGCCGGCCAGACTCTGTTCCTGAGCTCTCTGCTCCCCCCAGACTTGGGGCCGTCTCTCACTGGCAATCCCCAGGGTGGCCTAGCCCTCCTCCGTACACAAACGAGGGCGCGGCTGGCCTGGGACAGGAGAGACGAGGGGCCGACTACCAGGCGACAGGGGCTTTGGAGGCCTAGATCCTCAGCGGGGCGAGCGCTTTACCTCTCCCGCAGCCCTGGGGGCTGCACAGACCCCGACCAGGGCCCCGCCTGGAGAACTCACCGCAGGGAGACTTAGCGAGGGTCGGGTCGTGGCTCTGCACAGCCGCTCGCCAGCCCCCCGGCTGCTGGCACGAAGGGCGGGCTGTGTGCATCGGTCAGTGCCTCTGTGGCCCTTGGCACTTCCTGCTGGCACGGGCTGGGCACGGGTTTGCTCCGGCTGACTCGGCAATGGGGAGGTGGAGGAAAGAAGCTGCTCGTTTTTCCTTCCTGTGAATGAATCCTTCCCTTCCTGAACGTAAGAACGGCCAGACTGGCTCAGGGCAAAGGTCCATCCAGCCCTGTGTCCTGGCTGCCGACGGTGGCCAGTGCCCGGTGCCCCAGAGGGAATGAACAGAACAGGGACTCGCCCAGTGAGCCATCCCCTGTCGCCCATTGCCAGCTGCTGGCAAACAGAGGCCAGGGCCACCATCCCTGCCCAGCCTGGCTAATAGCCATCAATGGACCTGTCCTCCAGGAACTTCTCTAGTTCTTTTTTTAACCCTGGAGCCTCCCCCGAGCTTTGGGACTCATCTGGGGCTTGAAACCCCCGGCACAGCCAGGCAGATGCTGGCACTGGCCTCTAGTGGGCAGGGAGAAGGTGGCACCTAAGTTCTGCCTCTTTGTACCTGCTGCGATTCGGTGGCTCTTCCCTGCGGCCCCCCTGCCCGTTACAGACCCGAGACTGATCATTGGTGAGAGAGGATTAACGATTAATCCTTCCCCCTCCTGCTCTCCGGCTCAGAGGGCCATAAACGCTCCCCTTGTTAGAGCCCATTTGTGTTGCTCGTTAGACAAACCGGCGGTGGCAGGCCTCGGCGGAGCTTGGCAGCTCGGCCCTTTCACCAACAGAAGTTGGTCCAATAAGTGATATTAACGCCCCGGCCTTGTCACTCCATAGAGGGAGGCAGGCGCATTGCAGCCCCTCTCTAGCCGGGAGCTCGGTATTGCAGCCACTGAGGCACCAAATCCGGTCACCTCGTGGGGCTGGTTAATTTGGGGATCCACCCGTGGCCCCCTGCTCCCTGGCCGGTAGCTCCCCGCGGCAGGAGAACGCTGGGAGACCCGCCAGGCAAATGTCCCCGCTTCTCGCGAGGGGCGACTGGGATGTATGGGGCAGGGAAGGGCGGGCGGGTGGATCGTCGCTTTCCGGCTACAATCACCTCCCTCTGCTGCTGCCTGCAGGGCTTTGGGGCTGCCTGATCTGCCAGCCACACTAGCAGCCACTCCCCTGGGCTCTGCCGGCCCCGGCTGCAGCTCTCGGAGCACTGGGAGGCCACCAAGAGCCCCACTGTTCTCCAGCGTGGGCCAGCAGCCTGTTTCTCGAAAGGCCGCCCTGGCCCAGGTCCCCAGTGTGCCAGGGGCTGCACGTTAGGGTTGGTATTTATTAGGTGTATTATGGTAGCACCCAGGAGCCCCCATCCTGGCCCAGGACCCCAGCATGCCAGGGGCTGCATGTTACGGTTGCTATTTATTAGGTGTATTACGGTAACACCCAGGAGCCCCCGTCCTGGCCCAGGACCCCAGCGTGCCAGGGGCTGCACGTTATGGTTGCTATTTATTAGGTGTATTGTGGTAGCACCCAGGTCCCCAGTGCGCCAGGAGCTGCACATTATGCTTGCTATTTATTAGGTGTATTACGGTAGCACCCAGGAGCCCCCGTCCTGGCCCAGGACCCCAGCGTGCCAGGGGCTGCACGTTATGGTTGCTATTTATTAGGTGTATTGTGGTAGCACCCAGGTCCCCAGTGCGCCAGGGGCTGCACGTTAGGGTTGCTATTTATTAGGTGTATTACGGTAGCACCCAGGAGCCCCCGTCCTGGCCCAGGACCCCAGCGTGCCAGGGGCTGCATGCACACAGAACCCAGAGCCAGGCCCTGCCCCAGGGAGCTCCCAGCCCTGCATTCATCAAGAGGGGCGAACCGCTGAAGTGCCAGAATTCGAACTCAGGCGTTTATCTGAACGTCTGATTGGGGGACCCCTGCCCCTGCGAGCGGTGCCCCCCAGTGTCCCACCCCCACGTGAGCAGCCCCTCAGTGTGCCCGCGCCCTCGCCTGCTCCCCAAACCGGCAGGCATCTCGCTGGTCCCCGCCGTTCTCCCGCCTCCAGCTGGCGCCTGTCACCCGCGTAGGAGCCGGATCGATCCACGCGGCGCCCACACTGTTTGCTCAGGGATAGCTTGGCAAGGCAGCCGGCAGCCACCTATCACTGGGCAGGGCCAGCTGGAGCAACTCCCAGCTCCCTGGGCTGGCTGGCGCCCCCCTGCCCCAATGGAGCTGTACCTCGGCTTCGTCATTTTGGAGGGGCTCCTGGCCCTGGCTGTGGTGGGCACCAACCTGCTGGTGTGTGCCACGATCTGCCTGCACCGGGAGCTGCGGAGCGTCACCAACTGCCTGGTGGCCTGCCTGGCGCTGGCCGACCTGGGCGTGGGCGCCCTGGCCATCCCCTTCTCCATGGTGCTCAGCCTGGAGCTCACCCTCTGCTTCCACACCTGCCTCTTCCTGGCCTGCTTCCCGCTGGTCACCACCCAGTTCTCCATCCTCCTGCTGCTGCTCATCGCGCTCAACGCCCACCTGAAAATCCGGCTGCCCAGCAGGCAAGAGAGACGGGGCCCCCCCGAGTGCATGGGCGGGGGGGCAGGGCCTTCCGGGGGTGTGGGCATGGGGAGTACCCCAGCCAAGGGGCATTGGGACACGCCGGCTGGGCTGGCTCCCGGGCCGGGTAAGCCAGTCTGTGGCCCCCGGTGGGTCTGGGGGCTGAACTGAACCTAGCAGGCCTCGGAGGGCAGCCGCCCATCCGGCAGGCAGCGTTGGCCCGCGGGCAGCTGGAGGGCGCCTATGGAGATCGCCGGGGCTGGGGCTCCCGGCCTGCAGGGGGTGGCTGATAGCCCTGAGCCGGCTCTCTCCTTGCAGCTACGCCATGCACGTGAGGAAGGGCCGGGTGCTGGGTGCCGTGGGCCTGTGCTGGCTGCTCTCGCTGCTGATCGGCCTCTCCCCCATGATGGGCTGGAACAGCCTGGGGCACTACGTGGCGGGGAACCGGACCCTGGCCGCCGGCTTGGCCGCCGAGCGAGCTGCCGTGGTCCTCATCGCCCGCGACCAGCCCTACGGCGGCTTCCTCTCCAAGGTGTACCCGGGGACGCGCGGGGCACCCCACTACAACCAGCTGCATGACGACCACCTGGGGCACTGCTCCTTCACCTCCGTCTTCGCCCCCGAATACCTGGTCTACTTCATCTTCTTCGCCTGCACGCTGCTGCCCCTGGGCGCCCTGCTGGGCATCTACGCTGACCTCTTCCGGCTGGTGCGCGGGCACTTCCTCGCCCAGCCACTGTGGGCGGCCAAGCGAGGGGAGCTGCCCATGGCTCGCGCCCTCCTCCTCCTGTTCGGCAGCTTCTGCGTCTGCTGGATCCCGCTGCACGTCATCTACTGCGTCCGGCTCCTCTGCCCCGGCTGCTGGAGCTACGCGGCCCTGGACCGCCTGGCCGTGCTGCTGTCCCACCTCAACTCCCTGGCCAACCCGCTGGTCTACGCCATGAGGAAGAAGGACTTCGGACGGGCGCTCAGGGCCGTCTGCCTCCGTTACGTCCTGCGCTGCCCCCGCGCCAAAGTTCATCCCCAGGGCCTGAGCGGCCGAAGATAAGAAGGACCCAGGCCCATCCCTGCTCCCAATTCCCCAGCCAGCGGGAGGGGCTGGCGGCCCGGATCCCGGCTCAGCACCCCGCCCAGCTCCCCGTCCTATTTGTAAAGAGAAGGGGTGACGCGCCCCCCAGCCCCAATCTCCGGTGCCTGCCCCCTCAGCCATTCCCCAGCCGGGGCTGGATTTTCTTCTCCTGTCTTTGTGTCTCGGGGGTTATTGTCTGCGATATATGGGCCCCACCCTGGACAGCACTGAGCTGCGTGGCTTACGCTGAGCTCCGGCCATGGGTTCAAGGTCTTTGGGTGACATCCCTGGCTGGGCGAGTCGGAGACACCCAGCCCCGCCAGCCAGCGTGAGCAGGGAAAACGGGGGAGGGAGGGGTGAGCTCCCTCCGGCTCATGGAGCAATTATTGAAGAAGCTACGGCAGGGATCAATCAGGCAGCTGTCAGGTGGATAATGGACCCTGCTGCTCGGCAATAAAACCATCCCGTGACTGGCAGCGTGAGCCTGGCCCCTGCTTTTACCAAACGTTTGTTAAATCGATTCTGGGAAAGGGCAGGGGTGCGGGGCCACGGGCCTGGGAGGGACTGGCTGGCTGGGGGGCGGAGGGGGAATAGGCCACGGCTCCCTTCCAGCCAGGCTGTTCCCAGCTTGGGGGGGTGCTGGGAGGCACTGGCTGGCTCGGCGGGGGGGGGTGTTGGGAAGGACTAGCTGGGGTGGGGGGCTGGTTTGGGGTGCGGGAGGGGGCGGGGGGCACTGGGGGAGGTGGGGGGGGAACGGGCCACGGCTGCGTCCGGCCCAGGGGGTGGGGGAGGGGCGGGGGGCACTGGGGGGGTGGGGGGGAACGGGCCACGGCTGCGTCCGGCCCAGGGGGTGGGGGAGGGGCGGGGGGCACTGGGGGGGTGGGGGGGAACGGGCCACGGCTGCGTCCGGCCCAGGGGGTGGGGGAGGGGCGGGGGGCACTGGGGGGGTGGGGGGGAACGGGCCACGGCTGCGTCCGGCCCAGGGGGTGGGGGAGGGGCGGGGGGCACGGGGGGGGGTGGGGGGGAACGGGCCACGGCTGCGTCCGGCCCAGGGGGTGGGGGAGGGGCGGGGGGCACGGGGGGGTGGGGGGAACGGGCCACGGCTGCGTCCGGCCCAGGGGGTGGGGGAGGGGGCGGGGGGCACGGGGGGGGGTGGGGGGGAACGGGCCACGGCTGCGTCCGGCCCAGGGGGTGGGGGAGGGGCGGGGGGGGCTCCTGCAATCGCAAAACTCGGCAGCGTGGCAATGAGTCGCTGTGATGTCACAATGAGACCGATTAGGTGAGATGATGTCACCATGAGTTGCTGTGACGTCGCAAGACTGTGATCAAACGCGCTGACGTCACATGTGGATGCTGAGACGTCATGGGACTGCGATTCGGTGCGGGTACATCACACGTCGAGTGGTGACGTCACACTTCCGCCCCGCAGCCCCGGACAAGCTCCACTTCCGCCCCGCGCTGATTTCCCCGCCCCCTGACTTCCGCCCGGCGGGCCCCGCCCTCCCCCCTCCCGCTCGGCGGCGATTGGCCGGGCGCAGCTCTCGCGGGGCGCGATTGGGCCCGCGGCTCTCGCGGGATCTGGGGCCCCGTGTTCTGAGGGCGGGCGGCCCCGTGCGGCCCTTTCCGAGCCCGGCAGCGCGGAGCCAGCAGCGAGGTGAGGAGGGGGGGGGCTGGGCCCGGCCAGGGCCCCCCCCCTCCACCGCCCGGGCCCCCCCGAGCCCGCCTGACCGGTCCTCGCCTGTGCCGGGGGGGGGCGGCCCCGTGTCGGGAGTGGGGGGGGGCCGTGTCGGGGGTGGGGGGGAGGAGGAGTGGGGGGGGCCGTGTCGGGAGTGGGGGGGGAGGAGGAGGAGCGGGGGGGGCCCGTGTCGGGAGTGGGGGGGGGAGGAGGAGGAGCGGGGGGGGCCCGTGTCGGGAGTGGGGGGGGGGAGGAGGAGCGGGGGGGGGCCCGTGTCGGGAGTGGGGGGGGAGGAGGAGGAGCGGGGGGCCCGTGTCGGGAGTGGGGGGGGTAGGAGGAGCGGGGGGGGCCCGTGTCGGGAGTGGGGGGGGGAGGAGGAGCGGGGGGCCCGTGTCGGGAGTGGGGGGAGGAGGAGGAGTGGGGGGGCGTGTCGGGGCTGGGGGGAGGAGGAGTGGGGGGGGCGTGTCGGGGCTGGGGGGGAGGAGGAGGAGTTGGGGGGCCCCTGTCGGGGGTGGGGGGGGAGGAGGAGGAGGAGTGGGGGGGCCCGTGTCGGGGGTTGGGGGGGGAGGAGGGGTGGGGGGGCGGCCGTGTCGGGGGTGGGGGGGGAGGAGGAAGGTGGGGGGGAGGAGGAGGAGGAGTGGAGGGGGGCTCTGATCCGCCCTATGGGCCATGCTGCAGCCTTTTCCCGGCTGCCCCTTGCCCGGAGGGGGGAGGGGCTGTCCCTTGAGGCTGGAGCGGGGCTGGCCCCGGGGCCGTGGTGCCTGACGGGCCCCCCCCGTGGTGGGGGGTGGCCAGGGTGTGCGGCTGCCTGGGCAGAATCAGTCTGCGCCGGGGCTGAGCTTATCCGGATTCGTCCCGTCTGCCCCTCCGGCCGCTGCCCCGTGGGGGTACCAGTAACACAGACCCTGCTCCCCCCCAGCTCCTACTGTAACCCCGGGTTTCTGCAGCGCCTGGCAGGGCGGGACCCGGCTGCCCCCATGATACATCCAGGCTGGTCCGGGGGGCCCAGCCTGGGCTGGACGGAGACCTCCGATCCCCTTGTCCCGGGGTTGCTCCTGCGTCTGGGCCTGTAGCTCCCAGTTTGCATCCCAGCAGGGCCAGCTCAGCCGTCCAGCTAAACCCGGCTCCCCAGCGGGTTGCATTCGACAAGCCTGGGGAAAGCCGGGGTCCTGTGTGTGGGCGCCGCGCATCCCCTGCGCGTTCAGGGGCCCCGGGCGGCGCTAAGCAGGGCTCTCCTATCTTGCAGATGCCTGGTGTCACGGTGAAAGACGTCAACCAGCAGGAGTTTGTCAGGGCCCTGGCTGCCTTCCTCAAGAAGTGAGTTTGCCCTTTCCTGGGGGGCAGGTGAAGCGGTAGGACGAGGCTCATTCGGACCAGGGAGGGCCGGTCAAGTGCAGCTGCCGCAGATCTGGGCGGGATACATTTCCTCTCCCCAAATGCCCCTTTTGAACGGGCCCCTGGGAAGTCTCCTCTGCAGGCCTGCCCGGTGTTGCGTGTACGTGCAGCGTTAACCCTGTCTGGGCTGCTCGGGAGCTGTTGCTGACTTGTCCCTGGCTTGTTTTCAGGTCAGGAAAGCTGAAGGTGCCTGACTGGGTGGATACGGTCAAGCTGGCCAAGCACAAGGAGTTGGCCCCGTACGATGAGAACTGGTTCTATACCAGAGCAGGTAAGAATCCCAGCCCTGCCCATAGCAGTGAGGGGTGTGTCTGCCTCCCCAGAGCCAGCAGAGCAGTGACCCCTGAACGAGCTGGGGAGTCGCAGCCCACTTCCCTCCCACGCCGGCCGGCGCGCTCTCGCTGCAGAGTCTTCTCAGGGGGTTCTGCTTCTGCGTCGTGCCCCGAGGGTGTGTGTTGGGGGCTTATTCCTTCACCCACTTACTTCCCTGGTTCTTCTCGCATGAACAGAGAGCAACAATACCCGAAGTCCAAAGGTGCAAACAATTCGATGTTTATTGGGGTGAACTTCCAGCAAGCATGATTCCAGTTTCCTTCCTTAGTGTCCCCCTTCCCAGCTCTGACACCACAGAGCCTTACATCTGTGTCCCTGTTCCCATTCCTGCCCATAGCAGGACATGATTCTAATTTCCCCAACCCCATTCCTTGTTCCCATTCCCCCCCCCCCACACACACACACACACCCACTTCCTGATTGACTGCAGACTATATAGTAAAACTTGAGTTCTGCTTAGCTCTACCTTAACCTATCATTTTCCTGAAATTTCACTAACCAATCCTAACATATTGTAACATGATTATTTAACCAATTATATCCCACCACCTTAATTAGTTTACACCCAGCAAACTAGTGGGTTAGTGAGGGGTTGGCCCGCTTCCTCGCTGCCTGGGACTGTGCTCTGATTTCACCAGCCCCACAGGCAGGGGGAGTTGTGCAGGGAACCCCCGAGCAGCTGTGAGCAGAGCGGGTGGTGGCAGGAAGAACTCTGCCCTGCCCAGTGCCACCAGAGCCTCCAGCTAGCAAACCGAGCCTCCAGCTAGCAAACCGAGCCCCAAGTCTCCTGGTCGCATCCAAGCTGGGCCGATCCCTGGCGCCTTCCCTCCCCCGCCAGGTCTGCTGGGGCAGAGTTGCTGCGGTGGGGGGTTAATGCTTTGGCTTGGAAGCCGCCACCGAAATGCCAGGTTAATGGGCTCCGCCTGCGGTTCCACAGCTTCCACAGCCCGGCACCTGTACCTCCGCGGCGGGGCCGGCGTCGGGTCCATGACCAAGATCTACGGGGGCCGCCAGCGCAATGGCGTCATGCCCAGCCACTTCAGCCGCGGCTCCAAGAGCGTGGCCAGGCGGGTGCTGCAGGCCCTGGAGGGGCTGAAAATGGTGGAGAAGGATCAGGACGGGTGAGTGTCAAGGGGCTTGGCTGGCCGCTCGTGATAGGGATGGACGTCGCTGCTGGGCGGGAGGAGGGGCGGGTTTCAGAGCAGCCTGGCTGGGGTTTACACTGAGCGCGCCGGGCGTTGGAGCCCAATCTGAGCGCTGCGCGGTGGGCACAGGCTGCAGCCCAGCCGGGGGCCAGGGCGCTGGAAGAGCGTTGTTCTTTACCCTTCCCCTTTTCCTTCCAGAGGTCGCAAACTCACTCCCCAGGGACAGAGAGATCTAGACAGAATCGCCGGCCAGGTACCGCTATGTTCCCACCCCTGTGTGCTGGGTAGGGCCCGGGAGACCCCACCTGTGGGTTCAGGGTCACTGATAGTGGCTGGCCCCCACGGCGCAGCGAGCGGGTTTTAGTTCAGCCCATGGCAGCGTGGCAAGGGACGTTCTGCCTGCCCCCACGCCCAGGAAAGAGCCAGCCGCTGCCAGCTAGCAGCCCTGGCCACATTCTGTTGAGCATGCCCATTGCTCGCTTGCTCGCCTCTCCCGCAGGGGCCGAACGCTTCCAGCACAGAACTTAACCCAACCCCTTCGCTGGCCTGGCCCGTAACACCCCCTGGCTCCAGCCCAGCGCCCACGAAGGCCAAGTGCCTAGAAAGGAGCAAAGCTGCTCTCTCAGACCGTCAGCAAAACCTGTCCCGGGCTGCTGGGCTCCACTCCCTGGGGGGGTCTGCTCAGAGTGGCCGTGTGGCCGGCACAACCTGTCGGCTTTGCATGCGGGGCTGGGGGCGGGGGTTGCATCTACGCCGTCTTACCGCCGCTGCCCTCTCCGGCACAGCTCTCATCCGCCTCTCCTCTCTTCCAGGTGGCAGCTGCAAACAAGAAACATTAAAATGAGCGACAGATAATAAAACCCGGTTCCTGTTTCACGCCTGCGCCTGTTCCTTTGCGAGGCTCCCCTTGCCCCCGGGTGGCCGGGCAGCTGGG